TAGGATAGACTAAACAATTTCAATGTGCTATTCACACATTTTTTTTGTTTTTTCTGTTGTTCAGATTCCTGGAATGCAGTAGTAACAGTTTTCTTCTTAGACACAGCTCATAATATCATAGAATACTTGGAGACTATTTACACAATTCTTGTGCCTGGGGGATATCTAGTCAATTTAGGTAATAGATAGTATAGTTTGAGAATAGGCAATTAATTATATAAATTGAAATGATTGCTCAATATTATAATATTCTGTTACATTAAATGAAGTCAATGTTTCTCTGTGTGTAAATTATGACTATTCCTTTGATGTACTTAATGAAGGTTGATTCTTTGAACTCTATGTCTCTGGAACAACAATTCATTGTTCATTTGAAATGATTTTATAAGTTAGATCATTGCTTTAAAACTCATTCGTTTTGTTTTCTTTTTTTCCTGTTTGAATTACTCAGACTTGAATCTAGTTTCTGGTTGATTTTTTGTTTTGTTTTTCCACATGCTTTTACTGAAAAGGATTTGTTTCAAGCAGGTTTAATTATCTTTTTTTTTTAACATGATTTTCTCTCTGGTAGCAACAAGGGATATTTAAGACTCAATTCACACTTTAGTATTTATTTCTTATGTCAACTAATGAAGGAATAGAATTATATTGTCCCCTCTGCCGGTTCATGAAAAAGTTATTGAAGTTTAATCTTATCCTGTGCTTTTGTGCTCTAGCCATGGGGGAAGGGAATAATCTTATCCTGATAGTGCAGTAGCCATGGGAGAAGGAAATAATCTTATCCTGATCATGCTCTAGCCATGGGGTAAGGGAATAATCTTATCCTGGTAGTGCTCTAGTAATGGGGGAAGGAAATAATCTTATCCTGATCATGCTCTAGCCATGGGGTAAGGGAATAATCTTATCCTGGTAGTGCTCTAGTAATGGGGGAAGGAAATAATCTTATCCTGATCATGCTCTAGCCCTGGGGTAAGGAAATAATCTTATCCTGATCATGCTCTATTAATGGGGGAAGGGAATAATCATTCCAGAATGTAGAAAATACTCTAAGAGAGAAATGAGTAATATATTGAAAAAACACTTTTGAGTGGAAAACAGATTTACTGAATTATTGTGTCAACAGACTCCTTGTTAGCAGTAACGCTCTGAAAATATTTCTCTAAGAAAACTAAAAGATATTTATATCAACTGTCAATTTGTAGATACAACAGAATCATTTGATAGGTCAGTGTCTTATCCTGAGCTACTTCCCCTTCTCATTGTTACATACCAAATGTTTGTCTTTGTTTTATCTTATTCAAAAATGTAACAAATCAAATGTTTATTTATGTTTGTAACAGGCCCATTGCTGTACCACTGGGCAGGTCAAGTCAATGAACTCTCTATAGAACTAAGCTATGAGGAGGTCAGAAAGATATTACTGGACATTGGTTTTGAAATTGAGGTAATGTTGATGTTTGATGAATGGCTTGATCACTTTATTAAGTTTTAGCCCTGTTGTACATTCAGGGCTCAAGATGTCAGTAGATAGTTAGGCTGACACAGTTTTACCTCATAGCATCTACCAAATCCTGGTATTCAGTGTTGGAGGTATAGCCCAAGAGCATTAATTGACATCTTTAAACAATGTTTTAGAGTAACTTTAGAGTGTGTTGTTACCCTCCACTTTACTACATACTTAGTAGTTAGTCTGTTCATCCAATGATGCTTAGAGCAAATAATATTCTCCTAAGTTCTCTGATACATTCTTATTAACACTACCATAGTTTAAAGCAATTAATAACGCATAGTGTTCCATTATTTAGGCTACTTTTTAATTTCCGTGGATGTTTATTCACACAATATTTAATGGATGTTTTTCATATCAGCCCTACTAAAATCTCCATTGATTTGATCACTTAAAAGCAGTGTTTCCAAATCTTTTGAATAGCAGAGCATTTTACATATTTGGAGTATTTAGCAGTACCAGGTATTTAGTGGAACATTTTGCAATTTTTTTGGGTTGGATTTGTTTAAATAAAATAACAAAATATAGACATGAACATATGAAAAAAAATAGTAGTTTAAATGACTTTGATGGTATTGTATCTTTGAAGACCTTAACTTCTTGATATCAGGTATGATATTGGTAAGATAAATTCTCATATCTGGTGTGGCGTCAAGATTTTTCTGTACATTAATTTTGTTGCAACTGTATGGCGAGAGTGAATATGATACTTTGTTGATATTTTAATATGATAGTTATATCCCTTTGTGTTATGTACTCCCAGGCACAGGTTATGAATGTGAATAGTCTTGCATGAGTTATGAACTGAATGGTTTAGTCTTCGTTGAATGTGCGAGAGAATGTTTTAGTCAGTGAGGTCTTGTTCCGGGTCCAGGAAAGTTGGACAGTCGCTTCCTGGACTGGTGTTTTGTATTATTTCTTGAGAGTGATATAATTGTGTGCTTTATTTGATATTAAAGTGTTTTTGTTATTCATGGACATCTGGAGTTAGAGTTGAAGTATATTGAGTATTAATTGTTCTTATTTACGTAACCCCTAATGAGCAAAGCAATAAAAAGAACCCGACAGCAACCTAATAAGAATCTTACTCCTGTAGAATATAAAATAAAAGATAAACGTTTTGAAATACTGTGAAACTTTTCAGACAAACTCCACCAGAAATTGTTTTTATAATTGATCTTTACATCTTTGTTTCAAACTAGAGTCAGAATCTAGAAATAGATGTTAGTGTTGTTAAGATAATGGCAAGACAAAATACCAGATACAGAAGTCCTTCGAAGAGCATGTCTGCAAAGCATCCACACAATCCTGATGCAGTCCCAGCTGCGATGGGCAGGTCACGTCTACAGAATGGAAGACCACCGCATCCCTAAACGACTCTTGTTTGGCCAACTAAGCGAAGGAAAGCGCTTGCAAGGTGGTCAAAGAAAGCGCTTCAGGGACACCCTCAAAGCTTCTCTGAAGGCGTTCAGCATAGACCCAGGCACCTGGGAGACAGAGGCACATGACAGAGCATCATGGCGTCGTGCTGTGAAAACTGGCGCACAGGTTGCTGAGGAAAAAAGAACAATGCTGGCAGAAGAAAAACGCCAGAAAAGAAAAGCAAGACAAACGACACTAGCTCCAGCTGGAATAACCTGCCCAGTGTGCGGCCGAACATTCCGGGCTCACATAGGTCTCACCAGCCACATGAGGAGGCATACAACCCCAGTGCAAAGCCCTCAGCCCCCTGGATGACAAAGTGGTCATCATTGAACCACGATGGACAAACTATATATATAATAAAATCCATTTTTTTTTCTGTATTTACTTAGAAATGAATTCATACAAAGGCCTGATATTTAATTACTCAAAAGTTTGGTGGAATACATAGTGTCAGCTTGTGTTCTGTGCACCAGTTAGGGAAACACTTTTTTAAAAGAAGCTTTCATGCAACACGGTTTAGTTTCATTTAAATTTAAACAAATTTACTTAAATAGTATCATGAACTTATTCATTGTCCATTTCTTTAATGTGAAATTGATGATCTGAGTAATTTACATTTGAATATCCATGCCAAAATTACATTTTTGTTGATTTATGATTAAAAAAAAACAACTAGATAATTAACAATAAAAAGTTGAATTAAAAAAAAAAAGAAAGAAAAAAAAATCTCTATAATCATATATGTCCTATAAATGTTGATATCATAATATTGAATATTTTGACAATGAGTTGAATCATATTATGAACTTTTGTATTTTTCCAGAAAGAAGAAATGAATGTCCGTTGCTCCTACACACAGAACCCACTTTCTTTGATGCAGTGCTACTACAACTGTGTCATGTTTGTTGCTAGGAAACCACTACCTAGACCCACACACCATGACACTGCCAACTAGCGACACTAGCTTCTAACACTGTTGTACCTGATGACTGGCCTTACATTGGGCTGTTTCACTCACTCAACTGTAGACTGAGACAAGGAGGTTATGTCACCTTGACACCTTCATTTAGTTGTGTCACACTTTGTATAGAAGAATATTGATGTCATTTCAATTGGATTTCCTAATGAATTAAAACAAAGTGACAAGATTTACAAGTGTCTTATATTTATCTTAGTAGAGAATTTGTTTAAAAAAAAAAACTAATTGGTTTTAAAAGAAAATAAAAAATCATGATTGTTCCAATGTTTCTACAACTTAAAACAGCCTATGAAAACCTGAGTCTTAAGTAAGTTAAGGACATTTGTTCTTCAGCCTGTGATGTTCACTTGCTATTTGCTAAGACTCTCTACATATATGACTTCAACCTTTTTTTTTCTCTTCTTCTGGTGAATGGTCTTCTTTATGTAGAGCTTTAGCTTCCTCATCCACAGGTTGCAACCACTACATTGAGGAAAATTTGATTTGTGGACTTATTTTAAGTTTTATTTCATTAGATTTGAGAATTGTTTTGACTTATAAAATTGGCTCCACTGCAAAGGGAGACCCACAAGTTATCTCCCATAAAGTCTCTTTAGATGTATAATTTTTGAGTGTAAGAAAGTTAGCCACATTTTCTTTTCTAACTATCTTCTTCAAGTTTCGTTTGCCCTCCTCTTCTGTCCTGTGGTGTCCATCTCAAGTTTTAGTAAGGACATCATTCTTGAATAGGAGTGACCTGTTCACCCCAAGGCTGGTGTCTTTGTAGCTGTCAGGATTTATCTCATGTTGAGTACATTTGACTTTGATGGCTGCCTGGTCATGCCGTTTGCGTGCTGGACTGTCATTCAGATTTATCGACGGTCGAGGGTTCAAACCCTGCTCGCTCCCATCCCCCGTCGTACTGCGGGAGGTTTGGACTAGGAAGTAAATTATCTTCAACTCTGAAGGAACTTCTGAAAGATTACACATTTTACAAACATCCATTCAGATTGAAATAATTTGTACAATACTTCAGCCTTGTTTTGTATCAATATTGTCCAATGTCTTATTGTATTGACTTGCTGGTTTGTTTTGTATCAATATTGTCCAATGTCTTATTGTATTGACTTGCTGTTTTGTTGTGTGTAAGGCAGTGCAACTAGAACATCACCAAGGGGAGATGATACAAGTGTTTGGTAGGGTACAAAACAATGTTGGACTATTGCTTTCTTGAAATATATTTTTATTTATGCAATTAAACAATAAAACCACAGCATGCATCAATCAGACTATGTTCATTGAATACAAGAAATGAATAACAATTTGTACTTGCACTAGTTTGTTTGGTTGTCCATGACCTCTGAATGTTTTAATGCTGGAATGATAGTTTACTACCCATGGATGCAATTAGTGAGCAGTTCCTGTAGTGACAAGTTGGACAGAACCAGATCAAAAACTTCAGTTTGGCCTTTGGTTTTTACAATAACAAATAGATAGTGAAATTAAAAAAAAATGTGAATGATTATTAAAGTCTGCCTTCTGTTTGAAGGCAAACATTGTTCTCAGCTGTTAGTGTAGGTCAGAATTAGAAAAAAGAAAGGAGTACATTTGTTCAAAACCAAATAAATACTGTAGGTACCAAAAAATGTCATCAACACACTCTTTGTTTTTAAAGTGATGATTAAACAAAAATAATAGGGACTCCAAGAAAGCAAGCTGTTGCTTTTAAAAACTTAAGCATCTGGAAATAAAATACAACTTTAGATGAATACAAAAAATGTACATTAGCAAAGTCAGACCAAAATTAAATAGTTTCCTATGTCTATGTTGAACTAACAATTTAGGCTGGCCCCTAACAAAACACACCCTTTTCAGAAAAAACAGAGATCTAAATAGTTTTTTTTGAAGAGTTAGTAACCCCCCCCCCCCCCCCCCCCCCCCCCAAAATAATTTCCAATTTCAGTTTTTTTTTTGGTTCAAATAAACATTTAGACATTTATTTACTCAGATCAGAATAACAGTTTCATGTTTGAAACTGTAAAGACCTTGATCTAGGTTATTTTAGGCTATGATAACCTGAATACTATTGTAGTGAGGACATGTCAGAGGAAACATGTACAAATTGTTTCCAGAAAGATGTAAACCCAGGACTAAGGACTAACATTAGTAAGTGCTATGGAAGTCATTGATTCATGTCAACAGAAACTAGAAAACTAAGAATGACTTTGTATAGTGGATATAGTCTCAGACTCTCTTTGGTACAGAATTAAAAACTAGGATCACACAACTAAATTGTATCTCATGTTAAATGAAGGCAATTGGTTATCATCACTTGAATGAATACATAATGATATCATACAGAACTCAAATAGTTTTACTTAATACACAAGTAATTGATATGCATAAAAATTAAATACATTTTTAAAAAGTGAAATAAAACAAATTGATGACTAGATTTTAGATGAGATTAAATACAAAAATAATCAATAAAAACCAAAGGACTTCTAGATTCACATTTTATGATTAGTATGATGCACTGGCTTTTAAAAAACATGTACAACAAATATGAATGTACTGTATACTGCTAGAGTTCTGAAACTTAGCTTGTAATCACACAAGTATACATCCATCATTAGAGGCTAACAAACTTTACAGTCAAGAAACTAAATCAAATGAACATTTTTACTTGCTTAGTAATGTCAAGGAATTAATTGTTCCATTTTATATTTAAAAAGGAATAAAGAAATTGTTCTAGAGCTTAGTTCATATTCTACACACCAAATGTCTTGTACTGTTTGGTTCAACTATTTCTATACTTCTACTAGTACTATACTTTCTCTACATATCTTGGACATTCTTTCAGAACTAAAGAGTATTATATTGTAGCCCAGACCTCATGGGACAGGGTTTAAACTTAGGACCTTCATGAGGCCAGTGTATACCATACAACAAGGCAGCCATCCTAATGTTATTCAGTAAATATTGATTTATTATGCTAAATAATAACTGAGTTGATGCTTTCTTTGACCTCATAGTAAACAAAAAATAATTACTATGGTGAAAGATTAGAATTATGTAACTTTCTATTTCACTTAAGTACTTCCTGTTTGTAAGACCAATGAAAACACTGAATAACTGGCCAATTAAAGCTTAATGTTTTATTTCAATAAAATAAATCACCAATCAAAGTAGTTCTCTCAAATTTCAGTCTACTAATGAAACAAAAAAAAAGGCCCACTATACCTACTTAATATAGTGATAGTCTGGGAATTCGTCTAAACAAAAAGATGTTTGTGTGTGTGTGTTCCAAGGGGACATTGAAAAGAAAATACAACCCAGACATTTCAAAAGTGATGGTTAAATATACATGGACAATGAGACGTGTTACATTGAGTAAATGTTAATGGGCAGCGACCAAGTATTAGGTCAAGATTGTCAACAACAAGTTATACATGAAGATGTACTAAATGAAGATGGACTATGGACTAAATGAAGATGGACTAAATGAAGATGTACTAAATAAAGATGTACTAAATGAAGATGGACTATGGACTAAATGAAGATGGACTAAATGAAGATGTACTAAATGAATATGTACTAAATAAAGATGGACTAAATGAAGATGGACTAAATGAAGATGTACTTAATGAAGATGGACTATGGACTAAATGAAGATGGACTAAATGAGGATGGACTTAATGAAGATGGACTATGGACTAAATGAAGATGGACTAAATGAAGATGTACTAAATGAATATGTACTAAATAAAGATGTACTAAATGAAGATGGACTATGGACTAAATGAAGATGGACTAAATGAAGATGCACTAAATGAATATGTACTAAATAAAGATGGACTAAATGAAGATGTACTTAATGAATATGTACTAAATAAAGATGGACTAAATGAGGATGGACTTAATGAAGATGGACTATGGACTAAATGAAGATGTACTAAATAAAGATGTACTAAATGAAGATGGACTAAATGAAGATGAACTAAATAAAGATGGACTTAATGAAGATGTACTTAATGAAGATGGACTATGGACTAAATGAAGATGTACTAAATGAAGATGTACTAAATAAAGATGTACTAAATGAAGATGTACTAAATGAAGATGTACTAAATAAAGATGTACTAAATGAAGATGGACTAAATAAAGATGTACTAAATAAAGATGTAAATTTAGATGGACTAAATGAAGATGTACTTAATGAAGATGGACTATGGACTAAATGAAGATGGACTAAATGAAGATGCACTTAATGAAGATGGACTATGGACTAAATGAAGATGTACTAAATGAAGATGGACTAAATGAAGATGTACTAAATGAAGATGTACTAAATAAAGATGGACTAAATGAAGATGGACTAAATGAAGATGGACTAAATGAAGATGTACTAAATGAAGATGTACTAAATGAAGATGTACTAAATGAAGATATACTAAATGAAGATGGACTAAATGAAGATGTACTAAATGAAGATGTACTAAATGAAGATGTACTAAATGAAGATATACTAAATGAAGATGGACTAAATGAAGATGGACTAAATGAAAATGTACTAAATAAAGATGTACTAAATGAAGACGGACTAAATGAAGACGGACTAAATGAAGATGTACTAAATGAAGATGTACTAAATGAAGATGTACTAAATAAAGATGGACTAAATGAAGACAGACTAAATGAAGATGTACTAAATGGAGATGTACTAAATAAAATGGACAATTAAGATGTTTTATGAAGGTGTGTTAATTGAAGATGAATTTACATGAAGATATATAACAATGAAATGTGTCATAAGTTGTGAATATCACAGATAGCAGCATTGATTTTGGCACAATGTCATTAAGCCATTGTTTTATTTATAGATATTTTAACACACACACACAATGAGTTACCTTTCTAATTCAGTTCAAATTGCACAACCAAAGAATGAAATAACCTACATATCCCCAGTATAACACATACATATGTTTATTCAAAAAGTAGACAATAAAAAAAACCTCTATGCACTGTAGTATCTATAATTAAAATTATAAATAGCCCCCATACTTTTTTTTACTGTAAATAAAACTATTAGAATTGGTTTCTATGAATGTCTTGGAACAATGAATTTTCTTATAAATGTAATTCATGATGGAAATCACATCCCATGATACTATGTACAGGATGCCCAACTGTATGAACATAGTGAGTCAGAGTTCAGGCTACACGTAAAGGCTTGTTTTTTGGTGTTTAAAAAAACTAAAACATATTAGAGAATAAATGGTAACATTTTACATAATTTCTTCAAACTAAAGCATCTGGACAAGTTATTTATTGTTAAAGGGGAATAACTGTAAAAATGTATGTTTTCAGATATAAATGAGTTATTGCCCTTGTGTGCAAATCAATCATCTCAAACGATTGAGAAGTATTCCTGCTATTAGACTTGTATCTCTTATAAATGTAACGCTTCATTTCTAGCTGTGTTGTCCAGATGAAACTTTGTTGGCAATGGAAATGGTCCAGTTGAGCGTATTCAAGGCTAGACTTAGAACACTATCACGAGATGTGCAGCAGTCCAGGGGTCACTTCACACCATAATGTCTGCATTGTAAGTGTCTTCTTTGAGGTCATCTGGGTTGATGATGTAGCTACCGGAAGTAGTAGTGTTGTCATCGTCGTCGTGTCGGACTGGGCTGGAGGTATTGGATCTCCAGCTGGTGTCTAGCCCCTTGGCCCTCCTCCAGGCCGGGTGTGAGCTCGACGTGGGTAGCCCTGTTGCATAAGGCGATGAGAAGGTCTGCAACACGTGGGGCTGGCCGTCTGGTGTCTTTGTCCTGAAGCTATTGTCACTATTGTCTAGCCAGGCAGTGGAGTGTCGAGATTGGCTGTTGTAGTTAGAACTGCCGATGTTTTGAGTGGGCGAGGGCGTTGAGCGAGTAGACGTACCCGATGGGTAACCCAGTCCATGGGCCGGCAACTTATCGAAGGATCTTCGAATGTAACAGTGGTGGGATTGGATCCTGTCAGCTTCAGACAACATGGGAGTCGGTGAGCCAGGAATCTCTTCGTTGTCTGAAACTACCTGTGGCTGCTGGAACCTTACATGGTTGGCAGTGCTGCTCCCGGCTGTTGGGGATGGGACAAACTTGATCTTTCGGATGTCTGAAACAAAACGAAAAAAACAAACTATTGTAGTGAGACTGTCATCAAGATACATGGGTTGCACTGAGATGTGGAAATGTAAGGAAATAAACACATAGGCTTGCCAGACAGAGAGACACGTGGAGGAAACATATAGGTAGTACTACAAAACATAAAGGTAGCAATTCGAAACTTGTGCTTAGCAATATGAAACATAAGTAAGGTGTTTGGATTAGTAGAATTAATTTCTATAACACCATTAGTAAAATCACTAAACTTAGGGACACTTCAGGACAGAAGAATAAAAAGTAAAGTAGCTATACTACATAAAACATTGAACCATAAATTACAAATAGAAAAACAAAACCTGATGAAATACTCAGAAAGACACAAAGATAGAGGCACATTTCTTATTTCATACGCTAGAACAAATTCGTCCAAGAGCTCCTTCTTCCTATTTCCATTAGAGAATGGAATGGGTTGCCTGAATCAGCCAGGAAAACCAACGAGTCAGCAGAGTTTAGTCATTGATTAACGTGCATGACTAGATTGGCACATGAAGATGTAGATGTCTTACAGTAGATGTCTGACACGCAAGAGTTGAGTGATGCACGAGCAGTGAGTTCTCTTTCAAAAAGACAATGTGTGAGTTTGTTTGTTTACCAGAGAAATAGACAACAACAATTCTATCAATTATCTAGGCCTATTGATTTGTCCATACCTCCCCACCCCCACCAAACTTTCCTCCAACCTCTTACGCCACACCTCGGTGGTAATCTTGCCAG